AAGCGGAGAATTGTCGGCCAACACCACAGTGGGTAGTCACAAGAGAATACTGCCATTGGAGAGCGCTGCGAAGGATGTTGGCCGCCGATCATTCACAGCTTTTGGCGCCAACGGTCGCGAAACGGCCAGTGACGTGGCACCACGTGGATGAAAAGCGAGTCCCATCCGACAGTTGTGGCCATGGCAACCATGTTAATGCTGCATGAATGAGGAAGGCAGCTGCTATGAACCATGAACTCCTATATCTGCGACGAACTTCAAAATTGAAGAACTAGGGCCTGACGCCGACGTTCGGCGGGACGCTTTGGAGGGACGTGAAACGGCTCCCATCTTGCGTTTTGTATACCATAGAAAGCACAGCATCGGCAAATCTGGAAGCTCCCGACGGTTCACTTTGCCTTTTCCTAAACCATGCGAAGCGGGTTGTTTATCTGCGCCTTGGCTCTGCTCTCGTGCGCCAGCGCCACGTCCCATCGAGCGCTCCGAAGCGAGGCTCAGAATCAGGTCTCTGTCTACGGCCAGTGCGGCGGCCAAGGCTTCTCTGGGGATACGACCTGCACCACCGGCAACACGTGCGTCTACATCTTCTCGTCCTACTCGCAGTGCCAGCCCACGCCGCCGACGAGCACCGAGTTTGCAACGTATGCCCAGTGCGGCGGAAGAGACTTCAAGACCAACGGCAAGACGTGTCGCCCGGGCGATATGTGCTACCAACTGACGGCGACGCTTTCACGCTGCTACCCCAAGCAATCCGACTAAACCCACTCCAGAGCTCCAGAGTCGTAGAAGAAACCAGAAGACTCCTCTGACACATCCGTGTAGTAGTACCAACTAGAGACTGTTCTCGAGTTTAATGAAGTCCATGTTCAGCATCGCGATCAACTCAGCATCGCATGACGTTGTCTCTCGTTTGGCGCCAAAACCCTCGCCACGCCCAGCAGTTATCACACTTGGCACGATCGTCTCGTTGCCAACTAGTCAGGCGACTAGGAGTCTACTTCTTGAAGCAACGAAGCATATCCAAAGCCATGTCTATTCGACCCTTGCGCATGTACTCAAATAAGTCACCTGAAGAGGACTCGGGACTGGGGTGCTGATCTCCGAACGTTCACTTCAGCATTTTTGATAAAAGAGGCAACTAAAGTTGAAGTGAACGTTCGGAGACCAGCGCCAAATTGATGCTGCGAGTTTACGTTCAGAATCCATATATTATGCAAATTGCGTCAACTTAAACAAACTAGATGGCGTGGTCGAGGATCGTGAGGAGGAGCGCACGGTAGTCGCCGCTCGTCTCGCCTTCGACGCGTTGGCGCAGCGTGGTGCGGTACTTGGCCTGGTACGCCTGCTTGACCTGCGGCAGCAGGTGCTGGTAGCGCACAATGGCCGCCGAGAGACCGTACTCGTCCGTGCCAATGCCGCTCATCGTGCTCTCGATCTGCTCGACAATCGTCTCGATCGGACGCAGGATGATGTTGACGTGGTACACGAGGCCGTCTTCGGCCTTGCCGCCAAACTCGCTCTGAATCGCGTGCACGAGGCCGTGCTTGTGCTTGGCCGCATACGCCGCGTCGACGGTCGCGAGGAACTGCGGCGGGATCGAGCAGATCGCGTTGGAGAACGCCGACTCGTCCGTGCCCCACTTGCCCTCGCCGGCCTTGTAAATAGCCTCGGCGATCTCGGCCGCCTTGGCCGGCGTGTGGATGCTCGGGTTGTACGGCTGGGCCATCTGGTTGAGCGCCGCGAGGTAGAACGTCTTGAGGTCGCCGCTCAGGTCATCGTTGACGGCGACAACGAGGTCCTTCTGGAAGATCTTGTAGAACGCCTTCTTGAGGATGTTGAGCTCGACGTTCGAGCGGCCGCTGAGGACCGGGATCAACAGCTTCTCGGTCGTGCCGGCGCCCTTGGTCGCATCCCGGATGATCATGGCCTCGGCCTCCTCGATCGGCTGCGAGAGGAGCTGGAGAAGCTTGCCGTAGTCGCCCGACGTCTCGGACGCCATCTCGGAGAGGAGCGACTTTTGGTACAGCTCCGGGTAGCGGAGGTGGATGAGGCAGCGCTCGACGGGCGACTTGTTGCCGAGGACCGTGCTGAGCTTGGCCTCGTTCGTGCCGAAGCCGGCGCACGCCGCCTGGATCTCCTTGCACGCGCGGTCAATGCCCGGGTTGGCGTGGCCGATCGAGCGACCGGCGTCGACCTCGTACGTCTGCTGCGGGTAAATGTTCATGGTGGTGGTGGTGGTTGGTGTTCGATTTGAAAATGAAGAGCACACAAGTGGACCAAAAAGTGCGGTGTAAAAGCTCTGCCGAGCACGTGGCACCGCAGATTCAGCGGCCAACGGCGCTGTGGCATAGCATCCACCGTCCCGATGGCATAGGCGTTTCGAGACGAATACCTGAATTGTTGATAGCATCTGGGACAGTGAAAACTCTGGCGACCATCTACCACATGGTGTGAGATCGAGGAGATATCCCTGCGATCCGCCGCAGTCGAGGAGGATAAGGTGTCCAAGTTCAATGACGACATCGTTTCTGCGAGCACCTTGTGCCTCAGCTCCAAACGTCGTTCGCTCTGCCAACGGTGTCCGTCGACGGTGCTTGGACTGGAAGGAGATGCTGTGTGTGCCTCTACAACTAACACCAGCAGCACATTCCAGACCTTGCGAGGCGATAGAATACCCAGAATCTCGGACGCAAATCAAGCTGTCAGCATCGGTGCCGAGACACTGCCACGTGGAAGTTCGACCAAGCAGCGGCTGCGACGGACCACACCATCGACGATTCGGCAACAGACCAAGAGCCTGATTCTGCAAGGCTTAGAAAGGAGCAAGCAACTTATCGCGCAACGTTCGGCGTTTGCTATTGCAGCCCCAAGCCTCCGAGTTGCGTGCAGAGAGGTATTGGTTTCGCTCTGTGGCCATAACGCCAGTGCGAGCGGGAGAAGAGTGAGCTTCGCGTTGGGCCGCCCAAGAAGGGACTGGTGGGTGGGTTGAAATGAGAAGCTAAGGTGAGCGTGCTGCTTGGTCTTTAAAAATGAGCTTGGGCGGTGGGTCTTGGACGTTGACAGTTGCTTCCTTGCTAAATGGGATCCGTGGTTCGGGCAACGGCTGAAGATGGCGCACTTGCTTGGCCGTGGACAAAAACACAGCTTCAATCGTGCTGCGCGAAACCGCTCTATCTACGTCGACAGCGACAGTGTTCGAGGGCATTCTTGGCGCCAGTTCGAGTCCCGGTCGCGCAACCCTTCCATCCTTTAACTGTAATCACAAAGTATATGCATTAAATGTCGAGGTCGTCGTCGAGGTCGTCGTCGTCCCAGTCCGGGTCGTCTTCGTCAATGTAAAAGAGTGCGGCTTTGGGTGCGCCCGCCGACGATGCTGACGTTTGCATATAGGGCAGCTGGACTTGGTCCTTGGCCTTTTGGTCGGCATCGGAGATGCGCAAGTTGAAGCTCACGTCGGGCGCAAGCGTCGACACGAGGTCGGGCGCGTCAGAAGAAGCGCTCGAGGAGGTGGCCGGCTCGGCCAAGTGCTTGGCTTCATGGATGGCATCGTCCCAAGAGAACAGCGTCATGCACGGGCCATGCGTTGTACGTGGCGGCAGCCGAAAGCAGTCTGTCGCCTCGGTCGACGTGCCATTCTATGCGTTCACAGCATGCGACTATGACGAAAAGAAGCACATCTTGCGTGTACCTTGACCTTGCGGAGGAAGACGATGACGCCGTCCATGGTCGAAGGCACGGTGCGCTTGCTTTCTTTCGATAGGAAATGGTACGCGGCGATCGACGCGGGCGTCTCGACCAAGAGAAACGCCGTCGCTTGCGCCTGGTGTCGTCGCATGAGATGATGATTGCAGGAAACAGAGGAGGACGGACCCGCAGGGCGTGGACAACGTGCTTGGGATGCAGCGACGCATTGTAGCGAGCGACGAGGCCGACGACGTTGGCAACTAATAGGACAGGCATGAGGCACGTGCATGGACCTATCGTTGGCTACGAGAGAGGAGCGTTCGGAGCGACTGGAGCGCAGCGTGGAACGAGCCGGCTTGCAGCAACGGCGTGAGCGAGTCGAGGAAGAGGAGCACGGGCGTCGCGCTTTGCGCAGTGGCCGCGGTGACGCTGGCGAGGACGTTGGCCATCGCGTCGCCGAGCCAGCCGCCAAGGTCGCCGGTAAAGTTGAGCACCTCAACGACGCAGTCGTTGTCGTCGTCGTCGCGCGTGCGTGGCGCCATGTACGTCTCCTATGACCAATGTATGGGGTAGGACGACGAGGCGCAGACGCTGTACGTACAAGCTGGATGCGCAGGACGCGGAGTGAAGCGGCCTCGGCCACGAGCGTGGCAGCGTGCTCCAGTAGCACGCGCCCGGCGCCGAGCGCGGCTTCGTGCTCCTCGATCAAGACGAGGGCGGTTGCGTCACCTGCTGACGCCCGCGGCAGCTTGCGCTTGAAGAAGCTCTCGACGTCGGTCTCCTTCTTGGTCGTCCGCCCGGCCACCATGCTCGGCGATTTCAATGGTGTTGGTCTGCGACAAACCACCGCCATAAAATAAAATAAATAAAAATATTGTTAATATCAAATCGTTTGCCACAACAACAGAGGTGGCAGCGCTGGCGAACCGCAGTTGCGTCCGCCCCTGCTGCAACGAGCAAGCCTAGACCACGACGCTGTGTCGTTGCTGTCGCGACCATATCTGAACGCGTCATGCATCGCTCTCCCAACCGCCTCCATGTCATAGCGAGAGAGTCTACAAGCAGTGGATCGACCCTTCCTTGCAAGCACGAGTTCAAGCCAGGTTCACCACGCACGCTAGCAACCTGTGCGCACCTTCTAGGAGCGATAAAGACCTGAGCCATTCGAGTTGGATGCAGTAGCGAGCGTCTATGGTGACGCGTCAGAAGCACTCGGTGTGCTCTGATGCCTTTCACGGGCCAACCGATCAACGGGTGACGAGGTAGATGTAGTCGTGACATACCACTCTATACCAGCCACCGCACCACCACACTACCGTTGGCGTCGGTCTCGGCGCCATGGCCATACCACCTCTGCAGCGAAAAATGACGTGGCACTCTCTATGGAAAGCACCATACTTAGGTTCTATTTTTAGCCGCCGGTTGTGCAGGATGGTGCAAAAAATAGAACGCAAGCGGTCGCCCGATGGAGCAGGTGGCGTCGGCGCGGACGCAGGGGACGAGCAGCAGCCGCAGGTACCGCCGGCTCGCGTCCAAGGAGAGCGTCGACGACGCGCTCTTTGGCCGCAGCGTCAAGTCGCGCGACGGCGACCGGTCGCGCCAGGCCGGGCGGTACCATCCTACACACCATCAAGGTCTCGCAACGACGTGTGCCTAGGGACATTGTCCGTGGCAGCAGCAACCAAGAGACCGAGCCGCCGCCCACCAAGAAGAAGAACGTGCCCGCAACGATTGCCACCGTGCTGCCGCCGCACGAGCTCTCGCGCATTCGCGTACACTGCTTGCATGCTGACCTTTCCAGCATCCTCCTCCTCGTCGGCTCTGTAGGGCACGACGCGTATCCTCACCGACGCCGAGCGCGAGGCCATTGCCGCGAAGAAGGAAGAAGACACGGAAAAGCTCAGAATACACGCGCGCGCCCGCAAGGTAGACCACAGGATGCAGCGATTCTCACGAGTTTGGCTATTATGTAGCAACACATGATGGAGCGGGCCGCCGAAGCGGCCACGCGCGCGCCAAAGTCGGACATTGAGCAGATCTTTGACGCCGAGAATGACGCGATCCGGAAGCGTGCGGCGATGCTGAAGGACCAGGCCCACGACAGCGTCAAGCTCATGAAGACGCTCGGTGCGCGGGCCGCAGCCTTTACCATTCGCGACGAGCAGATCAAGCGCAAGCATGCGATCGAGGAGGTCGAGGCCATGCAGCACGAGAAGCTCAACGTGATGATGGAGATCGACCGGCTCCAAGGCTTGAAGCGGCAGGAAGAAGTCGCGGAAGCCAAGCGGCTCAAGCGCATTCGGGACCGAGAAGTACTCGAAGACCAGATCCGCGAGCGCAAGCTCGCCAAAGAGGCCGAGCAAAAGGCCATTGAAAAAGAAGCCGAGGACATGCTGCAGAAGATTCGCGACGCGCAGCGCGACGACGAGCGCAAGGAGAAGGAGAAATTTGAGCGAGCTACCCGGTCCATGGAAGAGATCAAGCGCTTTAACGAGTCGGCGATGGCGCGGAAGGCCGAGCAAGCGCGGCTGCTCGCACTCGAAGAAGAAAAGGTCGTGGCTTACCAGCGCAAGAAGGCCGAAGACGCACGCTTGCGCGAGGAAGACGAGGCCCGGAAGCGCCACGAAGCCGAGCTGCGCTGTGCAAAATTACGCTCGACCCAAGAAAAGGCCGCGAACGAGAAAGCACAGCTCGACGAACTCCGGGCCAAGCGCGCGGTCGAAGCGCGCGAGCGGGCAGCGCGCGACGCCGACGTGGCCCGAGAGGTCAAGGCCCGCAAGGAAGCCGAGGAGCTCCGCATTTCGCGCGAAGCCCAAGCCATGCACCGCCAGCGCTCGAAAGTCCAAGAGGCGCTGCAGCAAAAGCAGGAGTATGAAAGCATCATCCACCAAGTCGACTGGCAGAAGAAGCAATTTCAAGACAAGGAGGCCACGGACGCGACCAAGCGCGCAAGCCACCGTCTTGCGCTCCAGAAGCAAATCGACGACAAGCAAAAGCTCGTCAAGGAGAAATTTGTCCGTGTGCAGCTCGAGGGCAAGGCGCTCAAGCAAGAATACGCCGACGAACTCGCCAAGCTCGAGCGCATTCGCATTGAAGAGGTGGCCGAGCTCGAAGAAGCCGGCGTGAACCCGTCGTACCTCTCGGAAATGAAGGCGCTCGACATTGCCAAAGCGCGCGACCGTTAACGAGCTCAACACGTATATGAACATTATTGTCATTGTTATTAAGTGTGCATGACTGTCGTCCCTTGAAGCACGAGCGGCGAGAAGCGGCTGCAAATCGACGCTAGCCAGAATGGAGTGCGCCAACGACAGGTTCGCAGACGCCGTTGTACAAGTCGTCATTTGCACGACGGACCAGCCTGAATGCAAATACTATGGCTCGATCAACGTCTCGGCGATAACGTCACCGCAGGGACCAACTCGTAGCGATTCCAAGATGAACTCTATCTAGCACGAACGAGTCAACTATGAACGAGTCGAGTTGAGCCCAAGGAATAAAAGTGGGTGTATTTGGCTGCGGGAAAGGGTGGCAGCGTTTTGTGGACATAATTTCTACTCAATGATATGGACCATGGATAGACTATGCTACTAACTTTTATAACCATTCTAGATAATGGACATGGATCGTGTCCCACGGGCTTTTCGTCTTGTCGCGTTGTCCAACTTGGCCTGGCAACACTACTTGCAAATGCGTCAGAGACGTCGCCAAGATACGAGGGTAAGCCCAGTGCGTACGCACACAGTTGGCAACGGCATCAGAGTGGATTTTAGCAATTGAAATGGAAACTCAATTGCTATGGAAGGATTCCCCTCACGTACGAAGTGGCCAGCAAGGACAGCAGATGCAGTCCGCCCGAGTTGGCATAGTAATCAGTGCACCGGTGTACGTGGGGTGTGTGACTCTTGTGTGGAGATGTGAAGTGTCGCAGAAGGCGCCACGCGTTGGGTTGTACCAGTTTGAAAAAAACATGGCGGCAAGCACTGTGCTCCGGTCGTTCGAGCTCGTGGCCGCCGTCGTCGCCTACCAAAGTGGGTTGCCGGCAGCCTTGGTCGCGTTCCAGCGTCTCGTCGACACGATTGAGTTTGAGCCGTTCATCGTTCATCGCCCGACCTGCCGTCGCATCCCGATTGTGCAAACGTCATTCGGACACCTCACCAACATCCCGACGCGGTTTGCGCGCCTGCCGTACCTCCAGCGGTACAAGCACCCGAGAAAGAAGCTCTCCCACCACGCACTCTTTGTCTCGCCGATGCAGGTCGACCCGGCCTTGGCGCTGCACCTCACGATTGTCGAAGGCAACATGGCGATCGTCGAGCAATGGCTTCGACACAAGCCAGCGCTGATTTCATCGGGCGCGCTCGAGCTCGCGGCGGCGTCGTCCCAAGGAGCCATTTTGCGACTCTTGTATGAACGGTATCCCGAACTTGCGACGCCCAAGATGATGAATCTCGTGGCCATGGCGGGCGATTTGACGCCATTGCGTTGGCTGCACGAAGCTGGCGCGATCTGTACGACCGCTGCAATGGACGGTGCGGCCATGAACGGGCACTTGGACGTCGTCATCTTCCTACATGAAGCGAGAACCGAAGGCTGCACCAACGCCGCGGTGACGACAGCCGTGCGGAATGGCCATGCGCCGATCGTTTTCTTTTTGCTGCAGCACGGTTATGAGCACACCGATATGGTGCTTCTATGCTCGACAGTGTACGATGACATTCGAACGCGCTACGTGTTGGGCACGTCCCACCTCGAGGCTATCGATGTGGTGGCACCCATGATTGCCGTCGACGCGCTCGGTCTCTGTACATTGACGCAACGCCTCGGGCTTGCATCGCTGCGCTACTGTTGTGACCGCGGCTACCAAACCGTCACGCCGCAAGTGATCGAGATGGCGGCGGCGCAACGCGACCATGCAATGCTTCGCTACGCCCTCCACATCCTTCGTCAAACATACGCACCCGAAGCCGACGTGGCGTGGCGACCCCCCAACGACGACGACAACTTTGTGTCGTGGGACCGCTGCGAGGCCATGGACTTGGCGGCTTGCTTTGGCGACGAAATCGCGCTGCAGCTCTTGCACGACAGCCGTCTGGAATGCAAAGCCAAAAAGGCAACGCGGTTTGCGAGCTACTACGGCCACGTAAACGTGCTGCGATGGCTCCACCGCCACGGACGCCTTATCGACAACTCGATGGCCATGGAGCTCGCAGCCTGTATGGGCCATGCCGACGTGGTGCGCTGGCTCGTCGAAGTCGGTGGCCAGGCACCGACACGAACCGCGCTCGCAATGGCGGCCGCCAACAACCACTTCAAGATTGTCCAGTACCTCGTACACGCCATCGGTGACGACGACGACGCGATGGAGAGCGCAAACCACCGTCGTTCCATTGTCCCGCTCCCTCATGGGCCTGACGAAACGACCTTTAGCATCGTGGAGTATCGGTCGTGCTGGCATGTATCCGGTCGGGCCGCCGACTGGGCTGCCAGCAATGGTCACCTCGAGACGCTCCGGTACCTCCTTGCGCACGGACGGGGTGTGAGTGCCCATGGAATGGACGGCGCGATTGCGTCGGGGCACTTGGCCGTCGTCGCGTTGTGTGACCTTGAGCTTGGCCTTCGCTGCAGCCACCGCCAGTTTCTCTCAAAAGCGATCCTCGGCGACCACGGTGCCGTTGTCGAGTACGTCCTAACGCGCCACTGCTGGCGCCCCGATCTCACAAGCGACGAGGTCATGGTCGACCTCCACGTGCTGCATCTCAACGCAGCGACATGTGGCAACGTGGACCTCTGGCGCATGATCGTGACAGCGTTCCCAATCGCGCTGCCAGAGCGCGTGCAAGAGCGCATCGTGGTGCGGGCAGCGGCCAAGGGCCACCTCGCGCTGCTTCGCCTCGTGGTCGAGACCTGCGGCTATCCACTGACGCCGTTTGCAATCAAAGCAGCCACGCAGTGCGGTCGCAAGCGAGTGCTGCAGTATTTGATGACGCGTGGCCCCCCGTGTGCGTCCTTATTCCGCCCCTCGGACCGCACGAGCCTATTCTATGGTTGCGAGGACGGACCGCTTTTCTACGATCGGGTAGCTGGCCACCTGCGCATGCGACCGCTGTAACATGTCTTGTGGACCGAAACAATTGAAACGGCTTCCATGATGGACGATATTGTCATACATACATATAACTGTCATTAGTGCAGTCCAATGTGTCCTGTGAATGTCATTATTATTGCATTGCGCAGTGACATAGTGCTGACCTACCACATCCATAGATGGCGCTGGTCGAGCTTGATCTGTACGGCTAAGATCGAACGCAGTATAAAATCAAGCTTGGGGCACCAGTTAGTATACAATGCCACTATCTCGCCAAGATATCTAAAGGCGTATGGCCTCGTACCCGATGATTCCGATGGTCATGGGGAAGTTCACCACCGACTCGGCGGCCGCCCCCAACGTCAGTAAGTACTTGAGAACCTTCTTTTGACCGAGCAGCGTCGCGACGTGGTGGACGTTGGGCGTCCATTTCAAGCCGTGGATTTGGCACAAGTGCATCAGCATAGGCACGTGCTTCTGTAGTACGGCATGTATCAGCATAAACTCTTGCGTGCGCGGGCGAGCGTCAACGGCAACGACACCCCACAGCTGCGTGAGCAACGGAATACTTCCGCTGCCGGCGGCGTACACAAGGACACGCTGGACGTCGTCGTCATCGTCGGCTCGTATCTGCAGTTGCGACAGCAAATACGATGCGAGGTCCAACCGGCGCGCTTGCAACGCAGTGCAGAGGTGGTGCACGGTGACACCTTGACCATGCGCCGTGTGGAGGTACCGAACAACGTCGACATGCCCCTGCGTGACCGCCGCGTCCATCGTCGTTGTCGTCATGTCCACGCCGTGCTCGATAAGCAGCCGAAGGATCGCGAGGTGGCCTTGGCTCGCCGCGGCATCGACCGGACTCGTTCCAACATACGTGCTCCGGATACACCCGAGCACGTGGTCGTTGATACATTCGTGCGTGTCGTACATAGCCAGCGTTATAGCGTCGTCTTCATCGTCTTCAACATGCCCATGGTCCAAGAGGTACTGGACCAAGCGGCGATGGCCCGTATATGCAGCCGTGGCCAGCGCTGTCAGAGTCACTGGCGCGCGGCACACCTCGCGAAGATAGCGCACGGCGTTGACGTGGCCGTGCACGCACGCCATCGCGAGTGCATCGCTCTCGACACCACCGTCTTGGAACCGAGACAGCCAGTGGAGGACATGCATGTGGCCCTTCAAGGCCGCATACTCGAGTGCCCGGACCGTCACATGACCCAAATGGCTTCCGTGCAAGCGCTGCATCGTGTCGAGATCACCGTAGAAGGCAGCGATAGCCATCGTGACACCGTCGTCGTGCAGTACCGGGTGACTAGTTGCAGCCGTGTCGAGGGCCGGGAAGATGATCCACTCGTCAGTCGTTGGCCACATGGTGTCCTGGGGCGGAGCAGCTTCGAGCGTGGTGTGGTCGAGGACAAAGCGGGTCATGGCCGGGTCACGACTGGCGATGGCCGCGTGGAGAACCTTGGTTGTCATGGCAGGCCAGTACCCCGTTGCGTGCAACGTCTCGAGTGCAGTCAGCGAATGCACCGCCGGCAGAAGCGCAAACTCGGAAAGCACCGACTTGGCCGATGCGAGGACAATGGCCTCAAGGTGAGATGTGCCGCAGACGCTCATTGTCTTGATCTCGGCGTGTGGAGCACGGTAAATGAGTGACGGCTCCACCCGTCCGACGCAGTGATCAAGGAGGTAGCGCAGGATGGGTGCATGGCCGTTGGCAACGGCGGCCGTGGGCGCGACGATCGTACAGCCTTCATGTCTCGCTTCGTGCAGGAAGATGACGACATCCAAGTGCCCGTTCATGGCCGCACCGTCCAATGCGTCGGTGGTGCAGGACGCGCCGGTCTCATGCAGCCAACGCAGCAGTGCTAGGTCGCCCGACATGGCCACGAGGTCCATCATCTTGGCCGTCGCAAGCTCGGGATACCACGCAAGAAGCTGTCGCAATATCGGACCTTGGGACGACGCCGCCGCGAGCTCGAGCGTCGCTGACGTGACGAGCGCTGGCTTGTGTCGAAGCCATTGCTCGACGATCGCCAAGTTGCCTTCGACAACCGAGAGGTGCAGCGCCAACGCTGGATCGACCTTGATCGGTGACACAACAAGCGCATGGTTGGAGAGCTTGGTTGTGATGTTCGAATACCGCTGGAGGTACGGCAACGATGCAAACCGCATCGGGACGTTGGCGAGATGGCCCGTTGTCGGTGGCGTACGGTAGTTGGT